TTTTTAGAAAATAAGGATTAGTTGTGGGGCCCAAACGACGTAAAATTCCAACGATCCGAACCGTTTATTTTTCAAGTTGCACATCATAAATCATCCTTACAAAATATTAGCCAAATCGGTAATATTTGAGGCATCTAATTGAGTTCAAAGAAATTGATGAACACTATGGTCTACGAAATATTGATATTTCATCGTGACAATTGAATGGGCAAATGGTTTTAAATTGAATTGAATTTTTGTAAGGATGATATATGAATCGAGATTTACAACATAAACATTTCAAATCATTGAAGTTTGATGTGAAGTGAGCTCTATAACTAATCCCTATTTTTTTTCTTCAAAAAATGGGGATGCTTCCCCCATAAAGGGGCTTGGTTATACGTTTGTCATATGCTTGGACTTTAAATTTTAACCAAACATTCAGAGTAGGCAATTATTTTCATACAACGATATTGAGTGAGGATTGAGCTAATATGGTATAAAAATTTGTCTTTTATAAGAGTCAAACTTACACTATGTTTGGATGAAGGAAATAATCTTGAAATTTGGATAAAAGTCAGAATTTATAAATTAACATGCACCAATTCCCTTTTGGATTCATAAACATCGAAATTTAAAATTTATGCGTGAAAAAAAAACTTAGAATTTGGGACCTCCAATTCCTAAGTTTAAATTCTATGTAAATATGTGTCATTTTCCAATTTTTATGGTTAACAATTTAAAAATAAGAAATCCTGTATTCAATTTCATTATTCTTTTAAGTTAACCAAACAAGAAAATTCACAAATTTTAGAAAATAAATCCCATCCTTTCGATTTCCGTTATTTTAAAATTTCTTAATAATCTTAAATTTCTTAATCCAAACAATGGGTTAAGACCTCTTATTTACCAGTGAATATACTATTAAATGTAGTACTAGTGACTCACAAGAAAACATAAAATAAACTTTATGTGGTGGTCAGATAAAAAAAAGGTTGTGTTATCCACACACTCATTTTTACTTCTCACACACCTCTCTCGGTTTTTTGCCGTTAGATCGAATGAATTGAAGAAGATTAATGGCCAACAGTTAACAAGGGTGTGTGAGAGGTAAAAATAGGTATGTGAATAGCACTTTACCCAAAAAAAAAAAAAAAAAAAAGCACTAAGGGATTTAAATAGGTCAACTTGTAAATTGCCCTTTTCTTTTCCTTTACATCTAGGGTATATTTGAACTTTCCAAAAGTGGACTGCAATGGATATCATCTTTATATGCAACTTAATTAGTATCTACTAAACTGCAAACCAATTTTGTTTGTCTATCGGGAGGCAAGGAGCGTGGGAGCACATTTCCAAGTTGTATGGGAAGGTGTAATGAATCTACTATCTATTAATTAATTAATTTTTTAATTCATTTTATTTAATGAGCAATTACAAGAAGTTTTATGCACGCTATGTTTGGCATCTAATGATGCTAGTAAGAAGTGCCAAGTGATTACAAAACAAAAGTTGGAGAAAAGAACAATAAGAAAATAGTGAAAATACCAAGAATTAGCCCGTGGGCTGTACTTGTATCTCAGATTCTCGGATGGTTTATGAAGTTACTAGTTTAGTTTTATTTACCTTTTTTTTTCTTGGACAGACAGAAGTTAAATTTCTTTTGATTTTGGACAAATAAGAGTGAAATTCTTGGTGTGGCTGTGAAGGTGAAAGTGAAAATAACTTCATCATGCCTAGAAATTCTATTGTCCATACCTGTGGACCATGTAGATCGTGTGGCTAGCACCACTAACTTAGAATAAATTCTCTCTTTAAATTAATGAATGACGTCATCAGTCTATTGAAATGCTTAATACGTGCTCAAAAATTGCCCTAGTTATTCAAAAGATGTTAATCATATAGCGTCACCGATTACATGGAGAAGGTCGAATGCTGCAGTTGGTCGCACACAAGACCAACTCCTATTCTTGTTGTACACCTTGCATCATAAGTTGCATCTCACGTAAATAGATAAATAGAAATGCCAACCAAATTAAAAAAGATCAATGAGAAAAATAAATATGAAATTGTGGCAAGTAAGTTTCTCTTGAAGGTAAAATGTTTTACCACTCAAGTTACAAGCAAATTGCAAAAAATGTGGTCTCTTTAAACTATTATCCGATATCATAATTTGTTGGCATGGATATATATTCAACAAATATAGAGAAAACAGTACACACATTTATCTGAAGTGTGTTGAAAATACTAGTGGGTAATGAATGCCACAATATTGAAAACCTTGCCACAGTATTGAAAACCTTGGCAGAATATTGATATGTGGAGATCATTTGTCAAAGGTGTGGTGTAAATATTCAAAATGTAATAATACGGAGTTGCTCTATAAATAGAGCACTCCGACTGCTATCAATCGATATAGTAGAAGAGAACGAGAGAAGAGATCAATAACATCATCTATTCCTCCGTCTTTTATTTGTTATCCTCTTGTGCTATAGTTTCAGTGTGACATTTTACACCTGACTTACTCCATTCACTAAAAGGTTATCTCTCTAACTTTGACCTATTTATAACACGTTATCAGCACGAGTCTCTAAATATAATTATTCTCTCATCTCTCTTCATTGAACGAAAGAAAGAAAAAAATGTTTCCTCTAAGGTTTTTACTTTTCATCTTCTTCCTCTGCCTCAATTGCGCGGTATACCCTCGCGACGAACTGTTTGCTCCGTACCTGCTCTTAGTTCTCAACCTAACGGTTACATACATCTTTGATTTCTTGTTTGGTTTGGATATTGATTACTAACCCAGTGTTTATTTATGTTAATTTTACTGCAATTCAAGATGGTGCGGTACAATCGCCCATCTTGAATTGTAAATTTATTCTTACTGCGATCCAAGACAGTGCGGTATCATCGCCTATCTTGTACTGCAGATTTAATTTTACTGCATATTTTAGGTGGAGCGGTATAATCGCCTACCCTTCCCTGCATATTTAAATTTGCATGCTGTTTAATTTCATTACAATTTTAGGTGGTGTGGTATAATCGCCTGCCCTGCTCTGCATATTTAAATTTTCCTACTACTTGAGTGGTGCGGAATAATCGCCCATTCTATGTTACATTATTTCAATGAGAATGGTGCGGTACAATCACCCTCCTCATTCACCCTGAAAATCTCGAGCTAGAAGTTTCGAGTGCTTATCATTTTGGCCTGAAGATCAAAATGAAAAATTTGTAAGAACCAGAAGTTCCAACATGAGATTCCTCCAGGAATACATATTATTGCAAGTTAAGCTTGAATTTGTTGCCCTGGATATTACCAGAAAGAATTACCTGACCTGGGTACTGGATACTAAGATCTATCTAGAAGCAGGGAATCTTGGTGTGGCTGTGAAGGTGAAAGTAAATATAACTTCATCATGCCTAGAAAATCTATTGTCCATACCTATGGACCATGTAGATCGTGCGGCTAACACCACTAACTCAAAATAAATTCTCTCTTTAAGTTAATGAATGACGTCATCAGTCCATTGAAATGCTTAACACGTGCTCAAAAATTGCCCTAGTTATTCAAAAGATGTTAATCATATAGCGTCACCGATTACATGGAGAAGGTCGAATGCTACAGTTGGTCGCACTCAAGACCAACTCCTATTCTCGTTGTACACCTTGCGTCATAAGTTGCATCTCATGTAAATAGATAAATAGAAATGCCAACCAAATTAAAAAAGATCAATGAGAAAAATAAATATGAAATCGTGGCAAGTAAGTTTCTCTTGAAGGTAAAATGTTTTACCACTCAAGTTACAAGCAAATTGCAGAAAATGTGGTCTCTTTAAACTATTATCCGATATCATAATTTGTTGGCATGGATATATATTCAACAAATATAGAGAAAACAGTACACACATTTATCTGATGTGTGTTGAAAATACTAGTGGGTAATGAATGCCACAGTATTGAAAACCTTGCCACAGTATTGAAAACCTTGTCACAACATTGAAAACCTTGGCAGAATATTGATATGTGGAGATCATTTGTCAAATGTGTGGTGTAAATATTCAAAATGTAATAATACGGAGTTGCTCTATAAATAAAGCACTCCGACTGCTATTAATCGATATAGTAGAAGAGAACAAGAGAAAAGATCAATAACATCATCTATTCCTCCGTTTTTTATTTGTTATCCTCTTGTGCTATAGTTTTAGTGTGACATTTTACACCTGACTTACTCCATTCACTAAAAGGTTATCTCTCTAACTTTGACCTATTTGTAACACGTTATCAGCACGAGTCTCTAAATATAATTATTCTCTCATCTCTCTTCGCCGAACGAAAGAAAGAAAAAAATGTTTCCTCTAAGGTTTTTACTGTTCATCTTCTTCCTCTGCCTCAACTGCGCGGTATACCCTCGCGACGAACTGTTTGCTTCATACCTGCTCTTAGTTCTCAACCTAACGGTTACATACATCTTTGATTTCTTGTTTGGTTTGGATATTGATTACTAACCCAGTGTTTATTTATGTTAATTTTACTGCAATCCAAGATGGTGCGGTACAATCATCCATATTGAATTGCAAATTTATTCTTACGGCGATCCAAGACGGTGCGGTATCATTGTCTATCTTGGATTGCAGATTTAATTTTACTGCAAATTTTAGGTGGAGCGGTATAATCGCCCACCCTACCCTGCATATTTAAATTTTCCTGCTGTTTAATTTCATTACAATTTTAGATGGTGCGGTATAATCGCCTACCCTGCTTTGCGTATTTAAATTTTCCTGCTACTTGAGTGGTGCGGAATAATCGCCCATTCTATGTTACATTATTTCAATGAGAATGGTGCGGTACAATTGCCCTCCTCATTCACCCTGAAAATCTTGAGTCAGAAGTTTCGAGTGCTTATCATTTTGGCCTGAAGATCAAAATGAAAAATTTGTAAGAACCAAAAGTTCTAACATTATATTCCTCCAAGAATACATATTATTGCAAGTTCTTACACATCTCATTTTCTTTCAGAAAAGAAAATGACGAACTTGGTGAAGCTTAAATTTGCTGCCCTGGATATTATCCGGAAGAATTACCTGACCTGGGTACTGGATACCAAGATCCATCTGGAAGCAGGGAATCTTAGAGATACCATTAGGGAAGAGAAGAACTCATCTTCTCAAGATCGGGCAAAGGCCATGATTTTCATTCGTTGCCATCTTGATGAGGTGCTAAAAAGCGAGTACTTAACGGTTGAAGATCCGTTAGCTCTCTGGAATGCCTTGAGAAACATATACAATCACCAGACAACGGTGATTCTTCCAAGGGCTCGCTATGAGTGGACTCATCTGAGGATCCAGGACTTCAAGTCAGCGGCAGAGTACAAGTCTGCGTTGTTCAGAATTACCTCTCAGATGAAGCTCTGTGGGGATACTATTACTAAGGAACATATGTTGGAAAAGACTCTTAACACATTTCATACCTCCAACGTGCTCCTGCAGCAGTAGTATAGAGCGCGAGGCTACACTGAGTACAACCAGCTGATATCTGTGCTCTTAGTAGCTGAACATAACAATGAGCTCCTGATGAAAAACCATCATTCCCGACCCACTGGATCTGCATCATTCCCAGAAGTGAATGATGCTTCCCTCGAAGTGAACGCCACATCCTCTGGTGGTGATAATCATAAACGAGGACGTGGCCACAAGCGAGGTCGGTGGAATAGGAAAGGCAAGAACCATGGAGTTCAGTTTCTGAGGCATAATTTAGGCCCGAGCTTCAAAAATGTGAATCGCTACAAAGGCAAAGCTCATATGAACAATGCTCCCAAGAACTCTGAAGGAGCCTGCCATAGGTGTGGTGGCAATGGGCATTGGGCGCATACTTGTCGTACCCCAAAACATCTGGTGGATCTGTATCAAGCCTCCTTCAAGGAGAAGGGAGTCAAGACCAATTTTCTTGACCAGGCTAGACCAATGGATATACCTGATCCAGTGTTTGACTTATCGAGGCAGTTAAACACAACCCACCTAAATGGTTTAGACTTTATTGTGGAAATGGGGAATGAAGTATACCGGTCCGACTAAATCATTTATGTTTGATGTACTTTTATTATGCTGAAAACTAGCATTTCAATTCAATAAAAGTGGCATTTCCTGTTATAAATTGTTTGTTAACTGTGATTCCATTTACTCAGAAAGCATGGATAAAAACTGTGGTTATTCTCAGAGTATGAGAAATGGCGAAGATATTTGTCTTGCAGACAGCGCAACCACACATACAATACTTTGTGATTGAAAGTATTTCTCAAGCTTAATACTTACAAGAGTAGGGGTAACAACAATATCAGGACCTTCAGATGTAATTGAAGGCTCAGGGAAAGCCCAAATTATGTTACCAAATGGAACAATATTGTCCATACAGAATGCATTGTATGCTACTCGATCTACTCGAAATTTGTTGAGTTTCAAAGATATACGCTTAAATGGATACCACATTGAAACGAAAAGTGCAGAAAATGTTAAGTATCTATGCATTACGTCCAATGATACCCAGAAGCGTATATTGGAGAAGTTGCGTGGTTTGTCGAGTGGATTGTATTATACATACATAAGGACAATTGAATCACATACTGTCATGAACCAGAAGTTCATTGATTCAAAGGTTTACATGTTTTGGCATGACTGTCTGGGTCATCCAGGATTTACTATGATGCGTAGGATCATTACCAACTCTAATGGACATCAATTAGTGAGCAGACACATTGCTATCTCAAATGATAACTCTTGCAAAGCTTGTTCTCAAGGGAAGTTGGTAATTAGACCATCACAACTAAAGGTTGATGTTGAATCCCCATCATTTCTACAAAGAATTCAAGGGGATATTTGTGGGCCTATATTTTATGGTTTTGGTTGATGCATCTACCTGATGGTTACATGTTTGTCTCTTGTCTACTCAGAATGTAGCCTTTGCGAGACTTCTTGCTCAAATAATTAAGTTACGAGCATAGTTCCCACATTATCCCATTAAGTTAATCCGACTTGATAACGCTAGAAAATTTACGTCTCAAACCTTTGATGATTATTGCATGACATTGGGCATTGATGTTGAACACCTTGTTCCTCATGTCCATACTCAAAATGGTTTAGCAGAAGCATTGATCAAGCTGCTTCAGTTAATAGCTCGCACTCTGCTTATGAAAACCAAATTACCAGTCTCTACATGGGGACATGCCATCTTACATGCTGCATCATAGGTTCGATTGAGACCTATACCCAACCATCAATACTCCTAAGTATAACTCATGTTTGGACATCAGCCAAACATTTCACATTTACGAGTTTTTGGTTGTGCTATTTATGTGTTTATTGCACCGCCGCAACACACTAAAATGGGACCTCAGCGTAGACTGGGAATTTACGTGGGTTTTGATTCACCATCCATCATTAGATATTTGGAACCCTTGACAGGTGATATGTTTACAGTTCCTTTTGCTGATTGTCACTTTGATGAGATAGTCTTCCTGTCGTTAGGGGGGAGAAAAGACCGTTCCAGAAGAACGGAAAGAGCTGACATAGGTCGTTCCCACCTTGTCTCATTTTGATCCTCGCAGCATTCAATGTGAAAATGAAGTGAGAAGGATCGTTCATCTTTAAAGCATTGCCAATCAAATGCCAGATGCATTTAATGATGCTATGAAAGTGACAAAATCACATATACCAGCTGTAAATGCACCTGCAAGAATTGATGTCTCTGTTGGATAAAATAAAATGGCAGCGAATGATTCATCTGGTGCACGCCTGAAGCGTGGTAGACCCCCAGGTTCAAAAGATTCAGCCCCTCGAAAGAGAAAGTCGAGGGCACAATTGAATCCAAATGAAATCATTTAGGAAGAGAAAATGAATGATAAATCTATAATTCATGATTCTGGACTTCCAGAAAAAGACAATGTCCTTGATGAGACACATGTCCTTGAAAAGACAGAAGTACATGAAAGCAAAGAAATCTCCATAAATTATGCATGTACAAATGAATTGTGGGATCAGAATGAAATAATCATCGATGATATGTTTGCATTCGCAGTAGCCATTGAAATCATCTTAAGTGATAATATTGAGCCCTGCTCTGTTGATGAATGCAAACAGAGACATGATGGGCCTAAGTGGAAAGATGCAATCGAGGCAGAATTAAATTCCTTGGAAAGGCGGAATGTTTTTGGACCAGTGGTCCAAACCCCTCCTAGTGTAAACCTCGTGGGTTACAAATGGGTATTCACAAGGAAACACAATGAGAAAAACGAGATTGCAAGATATAAAGCACGACTTGTTGCACAAGGCTTTTCTTAAAGACCTGGAATTGATTATGAGGAGACATACTATCCTGTAATGGACGCAATTACATTTCGTTACTTAATAAGTTTAGTGTTTTGAGAAAGACTTGACATGCGACTTATGGATGTTATCACCGCGTATCTATATGGAGAATTAGATACTGACATATATATATGAAAGTCCTAAAAGGACTTAAGTTGCCTGAAACAAGTAACAAACCACGAGGTATGCTCTCGATCAAATTAAGGTGATCATTGTATGGGCTAAAACAATCTGGATGAATATGGTATAATCGTCTCAGTGAGTATTTGATCAAAGAAGGGTATATCAACAATGTCATTTGCCTTTGTGTGTTCATTAAGAAATCCAATTCTGGATTCGTTATAGTGGCAGTATATGTTGATGATATAAACCTAGTTGGAACTCCTGAAGAGCTCAATAAAACTGCTGAATATCTGAAAAACGAATTTGAAATGAAAAACCTTGGAAAAACAAAATTTTGTCTCGGCCTGCAGATCAAGCATTGTGCTAGTGGAATTTTGGTCCACCAATCAGCTTGCATTGAAAAAATTCTGAAGAAATTTGGTATGGAGAAAGCTTATCCACTCAGCACGCCAATGGTCGTTTGTTCTTTGGACATTAAGAAAGATCCATTCCATCTAAAAGAAGATGATGAACTAGTCCTTGGTCCAGAAGTACCATATCTGAGTGCAGTAGGTGCTTTGTTGTATTTAGCACAATGTACTAGACCAGATATAGCTTTTTCAGTTAACTTGTTAGCAAGGTATAGCTCTGCTCCAACAATTCACCATTGGAAGGGTATCAAAGATGTATTGCGATACCTTCGTGGGACAACAGACATGGGTCTCTTCTACTCAAAGAACTCCACAAATGACCAGGTCCTTGTTGGATATGCAGATGTTGGTTTTTTTTCTGATTCGCATAAAGCCCGCTCACAAATTGGATATGTGTTTAAGAATGGAGATACAACAATCTCATGGCGCTCAACCAAGCAAACATTAGTTGCTACATCTTCAAATCATTCAGAAATACTTGCTTTACGTGAAGCAAGTCGTGAATGTTCTTGGTTAAGATCAATGATCCATCATATCCGGAATTCATGTGGTTTAACTTCGAAGACAGACAATCCAACTGTCATTCATGAAGATTATGCAGCCTGTGTTGCCCAAATGAAGGAAGGATTCATCAAGGGCGATAAGACTAAACACATATCTCCAAAGTTTTTTAGTGCACATAAGCTTCAGAAGGCTAAAGTTATTGAAGTCAGACGAATCCGTTTGAATGAAAATCTGGCAGACTTGTTCACTAAATCTTTACCAAAGTGCACGTTTCAGAAGTTAGTGCAAAGTATCGGATTACATTGACTTACCAAACAACTAAATTTGGAGAATGCGGAATCAGGGGGAGATACATATCAGGGGGAGCATCCATGATACATGCTTGTTGTACTCTTTTCCCTTCGATTAGGATTTTTCCCATTGGGTTTTTCCTATCAAGGTTTTAACGAGGCAACATAAGCATACTTGACACTACATCAACAATCCAGGAAAAGTTGTACTCTTTTTCCTTCGCTATGGTTTTGTCCCACTAGGTTTTTCCAATCAAGGTTTTAACGAGGCAACTGATGTTGATATGTGGGCATTCAAGGGGGAGTGTTGAAAATACTAGTGGGTAATGAATGCCATCGTATTGAAAACCTTGCCACAGTATTGAAAACCTTGTCACAACATTGAAAACCTTGGCAGAATATTGATATGTGGAGATCATTTGTCAAAGGTGTGGTGTAAATATTCAAAATATAATAATACGGAGTTGCTCTATAAATAAAGCACTCCCACTACTATCAATCAATATAGTAGAAGAGAACGAGAGAAAAGATCAATAACATCATCTATTCCTCCGTCTTTTATTTCTTATCCTCTTGTGCTATAGTTTCAGTGTGACATTTTACACCTGACTTACTCCATTCACTAAAAGGTTATCTCTCTAACTTTGACCTATTTATAACAAAGTGAAGTTTATCTACTTTTTTGGAACCAAACTTCCTTGTTGTAGAGAGGTAGGTGATGCTGAATTATTAATTAAGAGCGACTACCGGAAAAAAAAAAAAAATGCCCAAAACATCGAATTAATATTTGAGCTCTAATTTGGGCATC